GAAGATTAGCCTGAGCTAACTACTGCCAATCGTCCTCTTTTTTCTGTGTCTCCCTGGAGGGAGAATTCTGTTTGACCTGGTCCCCGCTACCTCCATGCCTGGGTGCTGCCCTCTCAGGCAGCCTTCCTCTTGAATTTGCTTCCTGGACCTTGATGCCGGCTTGGGGAGCCCCTGCTGGACCCTAATGCTCAGTAACATCATCCCAGGGCTTCTATGCTCTGGATCTTGCGTACCTGGTGCCATTCCGGTCTCATCTGCAGAACTGAGCTGGGCCAGAACTCTAAAATGGCCAGATATCTGGGCAAAATTTCTAGAAGGAAGACAATGTCCCACACTGTTGTGTTAATGCCTGGTTACCCTTGCCCCTGGCACAGGCTGCCCCTCACCTGGCAGGAGTCGAGCTTCAGCAGCCAGGACTGCATTTGTAAGTCATGCTCCGCCAGCCCCTGTCCCTGCCCGCTCCCGCGCTGTCTGCTCGAAGTCTCTCTCCCGGCTTTCATATCTCAGCCTGTTTGTTTCAGGCATGTCTCTACTTTTGGACCCTAGTTTACCTGCATCTCTGAACCCCATTCCACCATTTCAGCTCCAGGATTACAGCACGTCTATTCCCTCTTTATTTTATTTTATTTTTTAAAGAAAGATTAGCCCTGAGCTAACTGCTGCCAATCCTCCTCTTTTTGCTGAGGAAAATTGGCCCTGAGCTAACATGCATGCCCATCTTCCTCTACTTCATACGTGGGACGTTTGCCACAGCATGGCTTTTACAAGCGGTGCCATGTCCGCACCCGGGATCCGGGCCGCTGAATCAGAACGTGCGAACTTAACTGCTGCGCCACCGGGCCGGCCCCAACAACAAATGTTTTTCAGCTGGTGTAATCATATCATGATTATATATCATAGTATATCATAGTGGTTAAAAATATGAGCACCAGAATCTGAAAAACATGGGTTCAAAGTTCACTTCAACCACTTACCAACTGTTGAACTGTAGATAAATCACTTAGCTCTATCTCCTTATTTGTAAAATAGGAATATAATAAAGCCTACCTCTTAGGGCTGTTCTAAGAAATAAATGAGATAATATATGGAAAGCCCTTAGTCTGGAGTTTGACACATGGTAAGCAGTCAGGAAATGTTCTTAGAAAAATTATATAAGGTAAAGAAGCTTCCTGTTAAATACAGTCACTTAAATGCCTCCTTGTTTGTGCGCACGCACAGGCACATGATGGTTTCTGACTTGGCAAAATTAGAGAAGTTCGAGGTTCATCACTCTCCCAATAACATAAGTGAATCTTGTTTTCTCATTTAGCTGTGTAATCTTAAAAAATAGAAATATAAATCTTTACTTTAAAAGTATTGTTGTTTAAATAAATTCCACCTTAGGCTCGTGTAAGTCTACTGAGCTCTTAAAGATATTCCTAATTTTTCTTAATTTTCTTGAAGGGATGGGTGTATTGCTGTTTTTATATTACATATTAAAGTAACTTTTCTATGTATTTGACAGAAACTATGTGAAACAACACTCTGGATTTCAAAAGACATCATTTCATCATGGGACAGCAATTTTCAGATCAGACGCAGTTGGTTCTTAACAAGTTACCAGAAAAAGTAGCAAAACATGTCACATTGGTTCGAGAAAGTGGCTCCTTAACTTATGAAGAATTTCTTGGGAGAGTAGCTGAACTTAATGATGTGTAAGTCTTGCTATTTTTCATTTTGTTTTTCCCCCTGAAGTATGCCCCATACGTCATGACTGTCTGAGAGGTAACCAGATGTTTTGATTGCTAAGACCATGTTTTCAGCAGCAGTTAGGAGATATTTATAGAGCGCCTACTATACGACTTTCTGTGTGGCTGTTTAGAAACATGTAATAGGAATAAAAGAGACGGAAGGAACTCAAAATTGAATTTTGAACATAGGCTTATAACTTTACTCCTTTTTGAAAGCACTAAAGGGATGCATAACAGAAGAGAATATGCCAATCAGTTGCTCTAGAGAAAGGATCCTAGGATAGTCAAAGGGCACTCAGGTTTCTGTACATCGACCGGTTCAGCTGGTTAATAAGGAAATCAGTCTTCTGGATCTGTTCACTGAGCCATTATTTTGCCAGAGAAATACATATATAGTAATATTTCATTTGTCATCACTGAAGAATAAAGTATTTTGTTTATTAATATTTTCTAATTAGCTAACATCTTTAAATCTCTACTTAATGCTTGAATAGATTTCTAAGATGGAATATGAATTTCTCAGCCATCTTACAGAGCACACCTAATAGAATTAGCCTTGTCTTTCTAAGTTTGTTCTTTATGATATCAGTTGTAATACTGATCTGTGTAGAAGCTATTAAAACCCACAGGCCTGTGTCCCTGAATGACCCCAGATTGTTTGCTTTTAAAATCCTGCCTTGTTTGTGTGTTCTCCCCTGGTGACAGGTGAGCAGCTGTCACTTCTTTCTGTTAAGTCTCCGTCTAGCAGCACCCACACCCACCCCTCTCGCTGTCTTCCTGGGGGTATAATTATAGTTTATTCGCATTGCCTTTTAAATGAGACGTTAAAGCTTCTCTCTTTAGTCTATTCATTTTAGCTAACACTGAGGAAGGCACTCTGCTGAGGGTTGGACATTTTAACTGAGGCCTAAAATGCTTACCTAAGTATGGCAGATCCAGCTCTCCCTGAGTCTGGAGTTCTTTCCTCTATCCCACATTACCTCTCCTTAAACCCAGAAAAGGCCAAACAAAGTCACCTAGCAGTCTGGGACCACTTAGTATGTAAAAGCTTGTATTATAGTCACTATTAATAGTTTAGGGTAAGATACTCCCCAAGCTCTGTGGTGGCTGTATTGGATATGAGACATACTTGGCCATCTGGAACACGTTAGATAAAGAGAAGGAAATACAGTCTTTTTATGGACATGGCTCAGGTGTACTGTTATTAGCCAGTCGTGAAGAATAAAGAATGTCTTATTATCTTAGAAGATCATTTCTTTTAAGAACACTGGATTTTGTTCATTAAAAACAAAACAAAACCCTGTATGGATATATGAACGGATCCTGTATGGATATAAATACATAAATGCATAGAAAATAAACCAGAAAGCTACACACTGGATCTCTGTGGAGTTGTTGGAAAAAGGGGGCAGTGAAAGGAGATTTTACATTTTACTGTGTGTATTTGTGTACTGTCTGATCTTTTATAATAAAAATGTAGTCATGTGTTTTTAAAATTCTAGGATTTTACTTTTTTCTTTTTCTTAGATTGTCCAAATGGTAGTATTTGAAGCATTACTTCTGGGACCATATGCTTAAGGAATAAAATTGGATTGAGAATTTGATAGTATCACAAGCATGGAATGCTTTTTGTGTTTGTCGTTTCAACTCTTATGAAGAGTAATCAATGACATTTGCTGTCCCTTTGGAGTCTTGGAACTTACATACATAAACCTAGTCTATTCTATAAAATTTGCCTCTTGGCCTAAAGTTATTGGATAAAATGTGCTCTATGAAAGCATCCACAAGCTAAGCTTACTGTGTAATACAGGGGTGATGATAAAGAGTATCTTCCTTTTGTTTATTTAGCACAGGACATTTCTGACTGGATTTGGTTCTTAAAACCAATTCCCATGGGTCAGATGTTGGGCATTTCACAAGTGCGGTGCTGTCTGAGAACCTTTTAAAGTTAAACCTATACAGAAGGAGCGTGGTTTGATAACTAGAAAACAGGACTGGAAACTGGCACAGCTGAGTGACTTTCACTGGCAGGCTTTGTTCCCCAGGGCTAGTAGCTTAATTTTCAATGGCTTCCATTTATTTAGCTGTAAGTCACTTAGTTGAACGTGATGTCCCCACTGGTGCTCGGAGAGAAAGGTGAATAATGATAAAAGGGAGCTGCAGTACTTAAATATGTCTTTGAACTGATTTAAATTGGCATTGATAGCATGATATTGAATTATCCTCTAAAAGTAGTATATTTTTATGTTAGAATCCTCTGGCTGTCTAAATTATAATTATTCTGCTAGGTATAGACAGTAAAGCTATATTTAAAGTGTCTCAAAATCATTTGCTTGATCCTGTCCCAAATTATCTATAAAACAGAAATTTTCAAAGAGATGTGTTAGTATTGTTGCTTAAATAAGGACTCAACCAAGAGCAAGATTTTTTTCACACTTTAAATACATCTGAGGCAATAGTCAAAATTTGGATAAGTAAAAGCAGCCATGCATTTTCTTTAAAAATCTGATTCCTCGGGGGGCTGGCCCGGTGGCCGAGTGGTTAAGTTCACGCGCTCCGCTGCAGGCGGCTCAGTGTTTCGTTGGTTCTAATCCTGGGCGCGGACATGGCACCGCTCATTAAACCATGCTGAGGCAGCATCCCACATGCCACAACTAGAAGGACCCACAATGAAGAATATACAACTATGTACCGGGGGGCTTTGGGGAGAAAAAGGAAAAAAATAAAATCATAAAAAAAAAAAAACAAATCTGATTCCTCAGGCATGTTTTTTCTAGATGTCTTTTTTAGAAATGTAATAACCATTGAGATATAAATATAACAAAAAGAGATTTATAAATATTATTGCACTATGCCATTGACTTTAAAAATCCTTGGAAATTAAATTGTATGTTTATAATCAAAACATTCTCTAGCCATGTGTTTCAAGAATCTAATTATTATAATCATTATTATTGTTGTCTTTGTGTGTCTTCTTCAAATTTCCTTCTCTGTTGTAAAGTGTTTCTCGAAATTGATTTCATAGCTCCATTATTTCATATGATGACTTTTCTTAAAATTAACAAATATATTTGTCTCTTTTCAGAACTGCTAAAGTGGCAGCTGGCCAGGAAAAACATCTTCTCTTTGAGGTACAGCCTGGATCTGATTCCTCTGCCTTTTGGAAAGTGGTTGTAAGAGTGGTCTGTACCAAGGTGAGAGTGGCAGAGACTTCCAGCTCTGAGCTTAAGCTATTTTGGTGTTAGAACCACATTTAATAGTGTAATATATATCACTTCTCGGCCTTTCCACTAAGATCAAGTGTAGTATCTTTTCTTATCAGTTTAATAATGTAATATAATATAGTGGAAATAAATGTTAATAATTTGGTTATCATTTATTTATAAAACTATGAAAAACATAGTTTTGATACTGTTACTGCCTTCCAGGTTAACTGTTTGAATCTCACTATTGTATAATTGCCATATAGCAGAGGTTTTAATAATTATGGAAGGTGGTACCAAACTCTCATCCTTGCCATCTCCTTCTCTTTTTGGATTTTAGCTGGCTATGGAATCTTAAGGTGACACACTATCTAGCTCTCAGATGACTCTTTAAAAAGTGAAGTTGTCTTAGGAGATCATTTCTTTAAGAACACTAGGTTTCGTTCATTTAATAAGAATTTTAAAAATCCATTAGAAAGTTTGGGTTATTTTGTTCTGTTTTAGTAATTTTTAGTCATGGAATGGATTTTTGACTATCAATGTACTGTGTCTCATAGTTCATCTTTTAATTTTAAATAATTAAATTTGTCAACACTGCTAAAAAATATAATAGCAGCTGCCGTAGAGTATTAGGAAGCCTCATCCAGCAGTGGGTAGATTAGAATAGGAGGTCCTTGACCTTTCTGAGGCCACAGACCTGGTAAAAAAGAAGGAACAAGTTTTCTTCGGCCTCCTCCTATCCCAGCCCCTGCTCTAAACAAACAAACAGTAAAATCATCCATATACACATAAACAATAAGTTGAACATTCATGAATGCCCTAAAGTCCATTCCTGATCAACCGTTGAGGACCTGGGTAAGGAGAATTTGTTACTTTGTGTTATGGACCTTGGGGGCTCCCCAATTAATAAGCCACATTTCCCCAGGGAGTTGATTACCACAACTCTAGTTTAAGTGTAGCAGGATTACTTATGGATAGCTGATCAAATTAGAAGTTATCATCAATTTAAGTAGTAAAGGAACTTTAAAGAGGATTAGAGGAGCAAAGACAGACGTTAATTCCAGACTTGACTAAGTGCTTGAAGTTGAATGGAGCTGCTTAAAGTTTACAGTTGATTTAGAGAAAATATATAATACAGCTTAATACCATTCAGCTGGGTCTGTTCACATCGAACATTTGCTTAGCTGATTTTTTTTAAAGTCCAAATGTTAGAGAGATAATAGCTGCCAGAGAACCATCATTCAAAAATTTTTTGCATTATTCATGACACAGGTAGCTAATGTGGTACTAGTATGGATAGCAGTGTAGCTTTGTATGATGTATAATGTGTTAGAAATCATAGTAATAGAAGACACATTGAAATACTGACAACTTGATCCAAGATCATGTTTTGTTATACTTCAATTCCTGGGATCAAAAATTGTAAACTTATTTTTCCCGTTTTCTGTTTTTGTTGTTGTTGAGTTTATAGTATATTAAATTCATTAGGGATTTTTTACAGTGTCATAAATACACACACTCCCAAAAGAACTCTGGGAATCTGCAACTTTTGACTTTGCAAAGGAATAAAGTAAAGAAGAAGTGAAGAATTGGGCTAAAAAATGTAAAATCCATTCAAGTAGGCTCAGTATCTCCGATACTGCGCCATCCCACGGCTGCAAGTTTACCTGGCACATATTCTTTCAGAACTATTTGGAAGTCAACCTCAAGTGAATCATGGGTGGAATTTATAACAACTCTAATAAGAAAGGTCATTTCTGGAAAACATGCATTCTTTCTTCTTTTCTTGCCCTCTCCTCTACAGTAACCAGTAATCTGATCTTGTCATTTTACCTCTTACTAGGTTTTACTTCCAGTTTGTTCGTAAGACAAATTCCCTGCCCTCCAGGAGACTGTAACTACAGCTCAGGCCCCTCTTTCTTCTCATCCAGATTACCTTAGATTCTGTATTAATCTCCACACCTCCAGACTCTTCTATTTCTTTCTTTTTTTTCTTTTTTTGGCTGAGGAAGATTTGCCCTGAGCTAACATTCATGCCAGTCTTCCTCTATTTTGTATGTGGGTCACTACCACAGCATGGCTTGATGAGTGGTGTAGGTCCACACCTGGGAACTGAACCTGGGGTACTGAAGCAGAGCACACTGAACTTAACCACTCGGCCACAGGGCCAGCCCCAGACTCTTGTATTTCTAATTAATGATGCTTTGAGATTAACATTTCTCAAGCACAAGTCTCATCAGATCACCTCCCTGCTTAAAATTCTTCAACAGTTCCTCATTGGCTACAAAATAGTCCTGACTCCTTAACCTGGCAGTCAAGGTCCTCTACAATATGACGCTGAACTATCTTTTCTGCTTTATTCACTGCTATCCCCTTTTGCGCTCCACAGTCTCTCACCAGGCTTAACTAATTTAAGGCGGTATAGCTGTTACCTTTCCCACCTTGGTGCCTCTGCTCTTTGAGTTTCCTCAACTAGAATGTCCATTCCTTTGTCATTTAAATTGCCATTAGCTACAAGTCACAGAAAACCCCTGTTCTGCCAATTTAAACAAAAACAGTATTTATTTTCTCACGTCTCAAGAAATCTTGATATAAAGCAGCTCCTGGATTGGTTAATTCAAAGACCTAGCAGATCCCTCTTCCCAACTCGTTGGGTGAATATTAGCTCATGTCCCCTTCTTATGCCTACACTGACAGGGGATGTGATTACCGTAATTAAGATTAGACTAACCAGGATAGACTCCTGAGTCGTTTCAGGTAGTGGTAGACACCAAAACAAAATCAGGGCTCTGCTGGCAATGAAAAGTAGGAATGACATTTGGGTAATCAACCAACGTTTTCTGCCACATCTTTTATTTCTCCGTAAACTTGATGTCTCTTTAAAGGCCCACCACAAATACCATCTCATCCATAAAGTCTTCCCTGACAGAAATTCTCTTGCCTCTTCTAAATTCTAGCAGCACTTTATTCGTACTTCATAATTAAATTCTATGTTAAGTATAAAGTTATTCATTTAGGTTCTTAGCTCCCCTACTAGCTAGTAAGCTCCCGAGGGCAGGAACTCTGTCTAGATTCATCCTTGTATCTCTTACAGCCTGTAGTGCTTTGCACCTCGTAGGAACTGAATATATTTTGAGTGAACAAAAATCTGTTGAAGAAATACTCTCATTCTAAATGACTGGGATGGGTTGAAACTTTCCTTCTTTATTGATACAGTGTAGTATCTAAATTACATTCCCTCTGTCTTTATTTCATAAAGGACTCAGCTCACATCGAAGAAGCCAGTATGCATTGTAGAAAGCTGTGAGGATATGAACATATCAGGTTTCTGATCCCTTAGTTTTCTGTTGCTCCTCTTTGGCAAACACAGAATTAATGTTTAATTTTACAATTAGTCAAACTCCTTTTTGCCTCAGTGTCTCTAACCATTGCATATGGTATGTGATTAAACATCTTCCTTAAAATAAGATCCTAAATAGAAAAACAGAAGACATATTGAAGACATAAGCAATCAGATCTTTCATTTGTGTAATTGTTCTTGATTTTAGATTAGTCTAAAGAAGCGTTTCTATTTGCATTCCTTAAGTCTTTTTTGAAAGAATATGGTAAGTCAGTGTTTACATTAGGAAAAGAGTTGAAGGCCAATATGAAAAACTGATAGGAGACTGAAATTTCATATTTCTTAATCTTAAGAAACTTAAAAACAATGGTGCTGTACCCTTCTGTATTTACAATATGACCTCATCTTGACCATCTGCCATCTGTTATGATGATTATCCTCAACATTTAATTCATTATAAAAAATAATCTAAAAGATGTTTAAATGGAATATTTTATAGGAACAAAGTTAGAAAAATTAATAGATTAATTAAAAAGTATGGGCTAAGGTGGCTGTTAAGAAACCTGATGAGTTACATTATCTTCATTCGTCTTGTTGCTTAGACCAAAACCTTGGAGTGATCCTCAACTTCTTTTTTTCTCTTCTCTTCTCCCCACAGTCAACCCATAAGTAAATCCTGTCAGTTTTCTCTTCAAAATATATTCGGAACCTGGCCAGTTCTCACCATCACCACTACTACCACCCTATTGCTGGCGACTGTCGTCTCTCACCAGGAATGTTCCAGTGGCCTCCTGACTGGTCTCCCTGCTTCTGTTCCTGCCCCCATTCTGTCTAGCCGAAGCATGACAGCCAGTCTTTGCCACTCTTAATCTGAAATGAAATCAGATCATATCACTCCTTGGCTCAAAACCCTCCAGTGACTTCCCATGCACTTGGAATAAATGCCAAAGTCATTACCATGATCAGCAAAGTCCTGTACGTTCTGTTCCTGCCTCACCCTCTAACATTATCTTCTACCACTCTTTCCTCTCTCATTCTTTTCCAACCGCTCTGGACTCCCTGCTGCACTCATTGCCAAGTACACTTCTGCCTCACAGTCTTTGCACATCCTATTCGCTCAGCCTGGAATGATCTTTCCCCAGAGATCCATGACTCATTCCTGCACCTCTTCCCATTCTTAAATGTCACCTTCTCTCTTAGGCCTTCTCTACAGCCCGTCAACAGTTCCTCTCCTCCATTTAATCTTCTCTGTAACACTTATTTCCATCTTACCTAATCTATGTTTTATTTGTCTGTCTCTCCTATCTATAGTGTAGGATTTTTGTCTGTTTTATACACGCTATGTCACCAGTGCCTAGACTGGTGCACATAGTACCTGTACCATCCACATAATAGATACTCAATAAATATTTGTTGCAGGAATCCTATGATTATAATAGTTGTAGTTTGATAAATTTGCTATTAAACACTAAGTTTATATAAATTATTTCCTAATTTCTTCTGCACTATGCAGTTCCAAAGGAAGACTGCCTCAGTTTCCTCAGCTCTGAAAGTCTATTTTGTAAGCCTGTATAAATTCCTATGACCTTTAATTCTGTTTATTTGTTCTCCCTCCCATGTATAATCTTTTATTACAAAGAATATTACATATTTTCAATTCTATATAGATCTTACCTTCCCAGAATTTAATCAATTTTCTGATTATTAGAGATAGTTGTACCATCTTTTTAGTATGGAATCTTGATTCATGCTTGACGCTCAATTTTTCTCTCACTGCCTTCTCAAATTGTAAACAATTAATAAATATTGGTTACAACTATTATTATATTCATTCCAAATATTGAAATGCTGCTATAGTAATGTTTTTTCAATATGTAACTTAACTACCTCACTTTCTCATATCCCCATT